AGAGAGAGAGAGAGAGAGAGAGAGAGAGAGAGAGAGAGAGAGAGAGAGAGAGAGGGAGAGGGAGAGAGCGAGAGCGAGAGAGAGAGCGAGAGAGCGAGAGAGAGAGAGAAAGAGAGAGAGAGAGAGAGAGAGAGAAAGAGAGAGAGAGAGAGAGAGAGAGAGAGAGAGAGAGAGAGAGAGAGAGAGAGAGAGAGAGAGAGAGAGAGAGAGAGAGAGAGAGAGAGAGAGAGAGAGAGAGAGAGAGAGAGAGAGAGAGAGAGAGATAAGTGATGCTCTACCAACAGCACCATGGACAAGTGTCAGGGTAATCTTCTCATGCTTTGTAAATCCGTGGATACGGAGACCATCCGACAGGCGGCATCCAAACGTCACCATTTAGCAGCTCCAACCCAGCCAAATCTATAATTAGTGTACACCTCATCTGCAGAGTTGTAAGTGCAGGGAAAGTGTGTAACTTTGTAAATAAATAACTCATATCTTGCGCTAACAGTGGACATCAAAGCAAAGGGAAGATGTATCTCAGTAATAACGTCCAATGAATCACTTTGTAGCGTAAGCCTGACGTTCTCTCAGAAATAATTTTTAGCGAAATTGTAATCAACAGCGACATTCATCACTCCTTGGTACAAATTGGACTCGCATTGTCGCATGGACAGAGGAGTTTGGAGCGGTTACTGTCAAAAGTGCAGACGGCAATCGTCCACTTACTTATATGGGTAAAACACATGGCGTAAGGGTCCATGTAGAGTCATGCCAGACTAAAGGCAAGAGTTTGTAATTTGACCGAAATGAAATTTCTAAGTTACTGAGACGACTGGACGGGAATTGGTTATTCGAGGATCATTGTACATAGATGTGGAAGATCTCGCGACGCGAATCATTGTTTCATTATTTCCCAGTGGCTGCCGGCTGGTGGCATAGATTCGAGCCGTGTATACGAATGCTAGGTTTGTTAGAGAAGTTATTCTAGTCGGTGAGAAGACACAAGCATACATACCTATTATATCAATATAGAGGTGTGCGCTCAATGCTTGCTTTCTGAATTACTTACATTTTGATCTTCACCTCTGACAGAAACAAAACAGCAGTCCTGAAGAGTAATGAAATGATGAGGCTAGGCAAGACCTAGAATGTCCTGAGTTGGCTCGCGAAAGCCGAGTCCAATTCTGTTCCATTCACCCTGATGATTTCCCTGCGGCCTTCGGATAGTTGCTGTCAATTGAGCACATCAGCGGTCCAACGAGCCACCTCCGCTGCGAGTCGGCTGACCGTGGCAGCCGGGGTCACCTTCCCAACCCCACGACCCACGCCACTCACCACGTCAATCAGTTGCGAGAGCCGCAGGCCCATCTTGACGGTGATTGTATCCGAGTTGTTTCCCACCGGCCGAATGAGCCGGTTGTACCTGCTGAGCAGGTCATCGTATAACCTCTTGGCGTCCGGGTTGGCGGTGGCCACCAGCCATAGTGTGACTGCCACCAGGGCGGTCAGATACCTCCGATCGACACACATCGCGCACTAGTCTGCGGCGGCTAGCACCGGGAGGAGACGGTCCGCACGGCCACCTCCTGCGGACACCGGACACGGACACGGACACGGATACGGACACGGACACGGACACGGACACACTGGCGACCGGCGCGTCTCAGCCGGGCTCGGACGGACACTCGGCGACACTGTGACCGTCCGCTGCGTCCAGCCCACGGCGGGGAACACCCATCTCCGGCACGGCCGGCGCCCCGGACCAGCGCTGCAGCCGACTGGCGGCCGCGCGCGCCACCAACGCCGCCGACGCGCCGCCACCGACGCAGCGCCAGCTGTCGGCAGCGACGGCCGTGCTCGATACGCGGCGGCGGCGGCGGCGGCGGCGTGTATCGACACGGAGCGCGGCATTTATCTGCGGCGCGGCCCGGCAGCCCGAGGTGGTCGGCGCCGACTGCCGATGACGGTATTTCGGCACTGACGTCTCCTAATGGCTGACAGGTTGATGAGGCAGCTGATTGGCGTTTCAGAGACTTTTTAGCAGCCATCTGCCAACACAAGAGCAGCAGCAGTGGCCGATTCTCACTTGATGGCTCTGTATGTGTTAACGTTACCTCTGATTCGGTTGAGTAGCACGTATCCTCGAGATTATTCAGCTTCGTTCACAATATCAGCGTAGCTGAATAATAGCCGTTTTCACGACGGCCATCTGGTACACATTTGGTCAGATTTGGTGCAGATTTGGTCAAATTAGGTTCAGTGTGTTTCTTCGTAGCAATAAGCTAGGGTTGCGCTAATTGCTTACATGCCTTCTTTGCCATACTTTTAGACATTATCATCGACTAGAACAATGAAGTGAGCTCATTATTCAAATATATTTGCCGTAATAGAGTTAAGGAACAGATCTGAACAGACCTGGTCAAGTTAGGTGCATTCACCAGATAGCCCGTCGTGAAAACGGCCAATGGTATTTCGGTGCCTTCTTTTCATTGTGACTTCTTTTACTCCTTTGAATAATCTCATCTTGTCTAGCACAGCAACCACTCTGAGTTTTGATCGGTCAGCAGAAGCTGTTCTTTCATTCTACATATCTCTTTTTTTCTGTCTTGAACATCTCATGATAGCAACCTCCATAAATGCATAAAATCGTGTTGTCAAGGCAAATACAATAAACGAATATTTGTCAAATGATGGTTACCTATATCCGATCACAAATGCTTTTAGAAGTTACCGCTAATCCTAATCCTGCATATTTGCTAACACTATTTCTCCCAAATCTGTATAATTTTGCCCACCTGAGGAAATCCTCGCCAGCATCGCCTATTATGATTTCTTCCATCACAAGCCGAACGGTGGCGAAATAAACTTTCTGAAGGTCGGACCGATCATGCGTTCTTCTGGGCCTCATGGATTGCAATGCCCTGCAGGGGCACATAAAACTCGGCTCTGCAGAGCATTGAGCTATAAGTAGCGGTAAGCGACGATTGGAAGCTCGTCAAGGACTACTTTGGTGAATTTTGACATGTGTCTGAGCTTATGTCATCGAATGATTTTTTTGTTGATTTCAACCTGCGTGACGAGAGGATACTGGATACCTAAATCAAGGGATCATTTCAATATAAAAGCATTATGTGGAGCTACACTGCAAGATTCCTCCAAACATGGTTTGTAAGAATGCTTTCGAAATTTATTATTTTTCTATGGGTTTTGTGATGCTGGGCCGGGGCCTCAGGGCACATCACGCTTATCGTACCTACGTCTGGAACTGTATGCGAAAACACATCGCCGTGCGTGCGTCCCGAGCCTGGACGAGGATCTGTGACGAGCCCCTCCTTGGTACTCGAGGCGCGTAATTGGCCGGTGGAGCTACTCGGGCTCGCGCACCCAATTAACTAGGTCCTAGGCAGCCCGACCCGACGGAGAAAACAAATTAATCGAGTCTGCCGCCGGGCGAATGGTAAACAAACGAACTCGGCAGTCCGTGTCCATGTGTCCGTGTCCGTGTGTCCGTGTCCGTGTGTCCGTGTCCGTGTGTCCGTGTCCGTGTGTCCGTGTCCGTGTGTCCGTGTCCGTGTGTCCGTGTCCGTGTGTCCGTGTGTCCGTGTCTGTGTGTTTGTGTCTGTGTGTCCGTGTCCGTGTGTCCGTGTCCGTGTGTCCGTGTCTGTGTGTCCGTGTCCGTAATGCTATACAATGTCGATTTCAGAAAAGTTAGCAAAAAATGTACCAAATTATGTTCACCAGCCGTTGCTACCACATGGGTATTTCGTCGTGTTTCGCAACGCATTCGAATCATGTTCCCACCAATAGCTCACATCACCACCGTTCAGAGCAGTGAGCACCCTGGCTGCCGACCTCTGGTGACCAATTGGCCCAGTTGCTGCGAACCTGCCACGCGGCTGGTGCTATTCACTGCAGCTATTTACTGCTCCGTTCACGATGTCGGAGCCAGCAGCGGCGTCCAGCCACTCGGCCAATAAACTGTCCAGCTTTTGGCCAATAAGCTGCCCAGCTTGTGGCCAGACTGCTGCGGCGAGGTCGCGGTCACGGGCAGACTTCTTCGTAAACTGCTACTTGGGTATGACAGTCGCGGTACTCATCAGTGTCTTGGGACGGTGATGATTTCAATCCTTCATTGTAAATGGTTGTTTGATATTTGATAATTGATGATCTAGTAAATTTCTAATCAGACTGAAATAGAGTTACTTCGAATTGATACGGAATTACAAAGTAGATAACGTTTATTAAAATAACGTGATGTGCCGAGATCAGATACAATATCTACAATCTACTGCGGAAGATTTGCGCTCATCGAAAACATCTCTCAGGTAATGAAAGAAAATCCAATTTGCATCTAAACAAGCCACTCCTATTGAAGCGGCAAACGCCGGAAGATTTCATTTTTTTTCCGACTCTGAATTTTAAATTCACGTCTGTCGGCTATTTCATCCCGGTTTAAATGTGCAATTACTTTGTGTATTCGAGCCGAACTCTGGACAAACCCAGTCAAAGTGCCGTTCACCGCCCAATCAGGGCATTGAATGCCTGAGGCGACCCTCTGATGCACTTTCTGTGCCACGGTAAGTGTGTTTACTGTCGTAAATATCGCATTCATGCCACTCGCTGGACAAACAGTGTCGCCATATCTGTCTCAGAGCGGGATCAATCGAGCCTGACAAGAGCCCGGCACTCGGCAATGGCTCGTTGTCCGCGAAAACAACGATATTACGAGACCGGCAGCCACTCCTCTGCGCCCTCCTCCGGGCGACGAATTACGGCCGCTTGCTGGCACACAGGAAATCTCCAACAAATGCACCCCATTACCCACCATCGCGGAATTGGCCAACGCTAATAACGGAATTGCATTAGGCAGCGCTGACTCCGAGTTCCGCCGATAGATGGCAGGTCAGTTCCGCCGCCAGTCGCCGCCGTTGCCGACGGGCCGTGGTCGCCGTCGGCGGCGACGGCAGCGGCGGCGGCGGTGGTAGCGGCAGTGAGCCAGGTGCGGCGGATGACGGCGGTCGAGCTGGCGCGCGGTGACGCCCGGTGACGCTGCTCGGTGACGCCGCGATGTTCGGTGACGGTGGTGTGACCAGCCCCGGGGGGCTGCTGCGGCTGCTGATGGTGGCGGCTGCCCTCTCGGTGCCGTCGGTCCGAGCCAACCCGGACGCCAAGAGGCTGTACGACGACCTGCTGTCCGACTACAACCGGCTGATCCGTCCGGTCTCCAACTCCACGGAACGGGTTACCGTCAAACTGGGCCTGCGGCTCTCGCAGCTCATGGACCTGGTGAGTGAAGGTGTGATGCGAATTGCTGCATGGAATCACAGATCAATTCTAAATCATAGCCGTCATTTATTTTGGCATGCCTATATGAGTGGGTGTTCCCTGAAGAAAAGGTCACATTTCGGTGTTGAAGGAAAACGAGTAAAGATCTGTGATTTCATTTGATCTCTCGACTAAGAGTTTGCTTTGATTTTGATCCCAAAGAATCTCTCGTGAAGATAAAAGTGGATCAATGATCGTAATTGATCTGAAATCAAGCTCCGTGGAAGCTGTAGGTAGATTTTTTCTCGCGTCGTGTTATCGCATTTTGTATCGAAATTGTGACGTCGTCAATGTGTATTCAGGTTTATCGTTATATCGAGATGTGACTAGATCTTTATCGGTTATTTCTTCTTATGGTAGGTACTTGAGTACATTCTTCTAAAAATCAAGGCTATTGCTCACCTGAATACTGCAAACTCTTACGGCACTTTTTCACAAAAACCTAAAATTTTGAAGTTATATGAAGCTCACCGAAAATAATATGCCTAATATCCAAGCAGAAATAAAAGAGGAAAAGGTAAACAAGAAAACGGAATTGTTACGGCGCGAGCATGTACATTGTGCATTCTATATTGCAAGAAAAACAATGTCGTGTGAAGTGATATCAGTTGAAGTAAGACGTGCATGTGGCACGCAATCTGGCAATCAGACATGGCTCGTGCGGTGTGCCATCTCATCGGTGGATGAGCATTGCACAATGTACAGTGCACACTGCGCATTGCCTTTGAATGTTGCACGAGTGAGCCATCTATGCTTGTTTGAGCTCGACTGAATGACCGATAAGCATATATTTCCAGTAATCATGGGGATCATTGCATACATCCTCATCTGACCGCGCGACCGACTGCATCCTCATTCAAGCCCCCGCACCGACAAGTGATGGCGTGATATTGGTCTCAATGTTCGCTCCTCAGTTGCAGACAAGCATTTATTTTTTTCCCACACAAAACATTGACGGGCTATCATGAAAAGTTGTAGTTTGTCGGACCCGTCCCGTGGTTCGGCTGTCATGGTGTAAGTTGAATTAATTCTCTCTGCAGGTGTGTCGCCGGCGCCGCGCCGCATCATTGCGTAGGTATTTGCCCTGGATGGGACGGCATATTATGCCCCTAAATCTCGGTATCTCAGCTCCAGTATGAGCTAGACGAATGGGGTCTCACTTCGTGCACAAGTGCGGGGTCAGCTTCTACATCTAAAAAAACTGTTGGCCCAGCTTCACTAAAATACGCATGCACGTTGTCGGGGACCGAACGATCCACACAAATGAGTTGAAGTTTCACGTTGCACGTTCGCGCATGCAGCTTTCGCTCTCCGAGTTTTCCTCCTCTTCTTCGTCACCTTACTTTTTATGTATTTGGAAGTGCATTGTCGAAAAAAAATTTCCGATGCGCGCCATGCTTCCAACCGTCCGCAACTTTCTCAAGTCCCACACTGCCCTCTCCAGTCTGACCCGTTCCGCCTGACGGCCGTTCCACCCCCAGCGCCACTGTCTCCCCATGACAATCATATAAAGGGACAGCTAATTGCGGCGTCTGTCCGGGCCGCGGTTATGGCCCGTGGCGCCGACCGGGACGGCCCGTCGCCCCGGCCCGGACCGCGCCCTAATGTCGGCCCTCCACGGTCCGTTTACCATTTGAGATGTCGGCCCGTTGTCGCCACCGTCGACTGCCGTCGGTCCGACGTCAGTGGGGTTTATTGCCCCGCTGACAGAGCAGACAGGCCGAGCGAGATCGGAGGGAATGGGGAGGGATATGGGCGTGGAGGACGGGGGACGGGGAAGCGTCCCCCCCCCAATAAAGATACATACGTTAAGCGTATGTATTGGAGTGGATTTCCGAGTGTAGAGCGTAGTGTATAGGCATTCGGTCATTGTCATGCATGTTCTATGCTGTGGCAATGCTCCTGGGGAGGGGTTCTAGTAAAATGTTACTATATCTTTGAATGTGTTTTTTTTCTTTTAACAATTGTTATCGTCCATAGCAGATTACCTACACACGGCCTTATGCATATAATACAGAGTGCACTCGTAATCGAATTACCTATCTGCTTCTTTTTTTTTACACTAAACCCATCTACAGTTACAGCTAATCTCAACCTCATTACAGTAGCGGCGGAACACCTTCATTTAACCTTCCAGGCGGTGGGGGGATTTTTTTGCCCCCCCCCTTAGTTTTTTCGATATATCTCCAGAATCGCTGCGCCGATCGTCACCAAACTTTTAGTACCCTCCCGTGAATAGCTATTGCAAATTGTGACCAAAATTTTTTTCCAAAGGCTATGATAGGTTGGTCGCTAATGACGTCAGGGTGACGTCATTTCTGCCATTTTCGACCCAAAAAGGGTTTCGCGGGAAGAGATGTCAGGCCTACAGCTTTAGAGATACAGAAAAATGTTTTCAACATAAAAGGTGAAAGTAAGAAGGGCTATAAAACTGCCATCTCTTTTTTTGAATTTTTTGGATTTTGACCCCGAAAAAAAAAATTGTGAATATAATAGCCGAAAAAGTCAAAAAGTTTTTCGAATTTCAAAAAAACGGAATATATGTCATACCTACCGCTATCTATATACATACCAAATTTGAGATAGATACCTCTTTTTTTGGCCAAGTTATAGCGAAAAAACTGTTCAAAATTGATGACGTCAAATTTTCAAACTCAATTGTTAGCAATTCTAGACCTCGTAGCGCAAGACAAAGACCACCATTAGACTCCCCGTGACGAGCTGCATCGAATCAATACCCATTTTTGCAAAACTACCAACTTTGAAATTTGACTTTTTTGACCTGACCTTGACCTGACCTCCACCAGAAAGTGACCTAAACCGTACCTGATGGTCTTGTAACCAACACCATTGAGTTGGAAATGAAAAATTGGTCATAAAACATGCATCGCACAACCTTAGTAATGTTGGGTTCATTTGGTGACCCTTGGTGACCTGACCTGTGACCTGACCTGGTATGACCAGTGACGTCTAATAGCAGTATATGTACTAGACAAATGACGCCCTATCGCTGATTTTCGACAAAATGCGTTTTACTCGGTGTTATACGGAGCCTATTTTAAGGGAATTTGACTGGGGGGGGGGGGGGGCAGCCTGGAAAATTGTCTTTAATAATCCATTAAAGGGACCCTCCCACCTTCAAAAAAGTTAATGAATTGGCATGAAAGTGATGTCGCTCGGTTCGGAAAGAGCAAAAATGAATATCTACCAAATTTCATCGAAAAATATTCACCGGTTTTCAAGATATTAGACTTTTACTTTTGTTTACTTTTTGGGATCTCCGCTGTTCCTAGCGACTTTATTTGAAAGTGCGGCATTTGTTGCGCGCAAAGCAGCATATACCACCGCGTGCTGCCAAACGTTTTAGTAAAAGATTTAAAAATCGTTAGATCTCCGCTGACGTCACAAATTCTAAGGGGGCATACCAATGCATTAGCCCCTTAAAATCCGAAAACTGCAAGTTTGAAATTCCATATCTCCGAATTAAAGCATTTTTCGATGTTGTGAATGCCCAAACCGGTATTTTCAGGCCATGGCCACCAATTTGGCTATCTCAACTAAAAACTAATGTTAAGGTGGGAGGGTCCCTTTAACCCTCGCCCGTATTGGTGTTTCCAGTAGCGAGCGTATAGGGGGGGGGTCCGTTGGACCCTCCCCCTTGCCGTTTCGCCCCTGATCGAGCTAGAGCTTCGCGGAAAAAACGACCGTGTTGCCCGTGATGAAAGGAAGCCGATTATACCCAATTTTAAGGTCCTAGGTCATCGGTTGACCTTCCAGGTCAGGTCATTGACCCAAAAGTCGGGAAAATCGGGACCTGTTAGAGCGTCGTAAAGAGTGGCTGCTATGGTTTTTCGGGGTGCTGATCACGAATATCATGTTAGTTATGATCATAGATGATGTCTTCATGCATTTAGGCCAGGTCAGGTCAGGTCAGGTCAACCAGTAAGGGTTTTGCCGGGTATTCGTAGTAGGTGGCAACCGCCTCTGACAGCTTCGTAACATGTTACGAAGGCACCAAAACTACTTCGTAAATGGTCAAATGGTTGCTTAATTCGAATTCAGCTCCAAAAACTAGCCTAGAAACATATTATAAAACTCGAAAATGTGAACCGAGGTCATCAAAGGTAAATGATCTGACCTGACCTTCCGGTGATCTTGACACCCACCCTAATGCATGGGAGCAACATCATATCCCATGTTTGAACGTTTGAAACCACGAAAAGACTGCAAACGCGCGGCTAATGCGAGGCGACATACGCCGAATCGCGACCTCGGCCAAACATGGTGCCATGGTGCTAGGCCGCCGGTGCATCTGAAAGAACTGTGGTGCCCCTGACAAGCCTGAAGTTCCAACGACAGGCCCGTGGTGCCTCTGACAGGCCCATGATGCCTTTGCGAGGCCGGTGGTGTCCACGTGAGGCCGGTGGTGCCCCTGGGCCCTGACAGGACTGTGGTGCTCCTGACAAGCCTGGAGTGTCCCCGACAGGCACGTGGTGCCACTAACAGGCCCAAGGTGTCCCAGTCCCTGCGAGGCCGGTGGTGTCCCTGCCAGGCATGTGGTGTCCATACTAGGCCTCTGGTGCCCCTGACAGGTCCGTGGCGCCCTTGCTAGGCCTATGGTGCCTCTGGCAGGTCTATGGTGCCCCTGGCGGGCCTGTGGTGGTACCCCTGACAGGCCCAAGGTGGTGCCCCTGCGAGGCCGGTGGGGCCCCTGGCAGGTCTGTGGTGCCCCTGGCAGACCTATGGTGCTCTTGCTAGGTTGATGGTGCTCCCAACAGGCCTGCAGTGCCCCTGACAGGCCGGTGGTGCCCCTGGCAGGCCTGTGGTGTCCCCGGGCCCCAAGAGGGTGGGGGGTCATGACCCATATGACCCACCCTTAGATACACCACTGGTCATTACTTACAGACTGACTCATTTGACATCCATTGCAAAACAAGTCACAGTAGTTACGTAGAATGTTT